AGGTGTAGTGTAGAATGCAGTTATTACAAACTTAGTCCTAATAAGGACAAGTGTTCCTTCTACCTTCAGTGATGTCCCAAGGAACTCCTCCTAAAAAGACCTTGCAGGAGTAAATGGGATTTTGGTAGTGTCTGGGGGGCAACTGTCCACTCCATGTGAAGGTAGCTTCATTGATTGCTGTAGAGCACAAATTCACAAGATGAGCACAACAGCAATACACCTGCATTACGCATTGATGCAAAACAGCACAGTGAACAGCAGCACCAGGGTTGAACAAATCTGTTCAAGGGAAGTGTTAAGGGAGATTCAAAGGTTCCAGTGGGAAGGTGAAGGGGTGGGGATAACATGAATTAATGTGCTACAGTAGTACGCAACAGGCCATACAGGCTGCCTGTCTGTGAAGCCAGGCCTCTCTTTCAATGCTGAATGGGCTCTCAGGGGTCTTCATTAGGTCCCAGTTGGGCCAGATGGAGGCACCAGGCCAGCGGTGGGACAGACCACCGCTTGGGGTGGAACTGGGTGGTGGGGTGAGAGGTGAGCTGCTGTGGTCCATACGAGAGCCCAGAGCTAGCTTGAAAGGATCCCTTTGCATTCCGGACATAAGGAAGGGCACAGACGGCGAGATCCTCAAAGACGACTGCAAAAGGCAAAAGAGAAGAGTTTGCGTCACTAATAAGGACAGTCAAGCACCATAAGTGAGCTACCTTTAAAACTAGCCTCATTAAAACACTATTGCACACTCTGCTGTCTGGATCGCTAGTAAAGTCAAATTTGTATAGCGCTTTTCACAATACACAACTTTCGAAAGCAGCTTTACAGAAAGTTATACCGCCAAGTCTCTTAACAGCGGTTTCAGGGCTGGGCAAACTATAATGGTATAAGTGATACTCAAATTTAGATGTGCCTATATTGCTTTTAGTGTAGCTGCTATGAGTGCCACAGCGTCTTGGGGACACGCCTGAGTGTACATTTAAAAAGCGCACACTTTTGTAAGCAGCTTCGGATGGAAGCATTGGCTAAATGAATAACATTTAAATCTACTGAAAATACAAAAAGTTGTACCAAGTCAGGGGTGTCAAACTCTGCAGAGTTTACATTCAACCCTAATTAAACACCTGGGGGGGGTATTCCAGAAAGGAAGTTAAGTGACATATCCAGGTTCTGTATTTTTAAGGGTAGGCGGATAACTCCGCTTCCGGTTCCAAAAACTGAGGTAACTCTCAGGATATGCAAGTAGCAATAGAAACTTTAACCCTGAAACATAACCTATCAGGTTATGTTCTGAGAATGTTTACTTCAGCACATGCATGAGCTATTGACGAGACTCCAATGGGAGTGGCAGATTGCGCACAATACACGATTACAATATGGTTATAAATTTTT